CTCAATATCACTCACAGGGAAACCAAATGAAACCACACTGAGTTGTCACCTCACCCCTGTTAGATGGCTACCATCAAAAAGATAAAATGTAACAGGTGTTGGCCAGGATGTGGAGGAGGAGAACCCCAGGGCACAGTTGGTGGGAAGGCAAATTGGTGCAGCCCATATGGAAGATGTAAAATACTGTGAAGGTTGCTGAAAAGATTAAAAATCAAGCTACCCTACGAGCCAGCAATTCCACTTCTGGAGATTTATCTGAAAGAAAGATAGAAAACCCCGACTCTAAATTAGATGGCCATGCCCAAGTTCACTACAGCATTATTTACAACCAAGGCACCAATACAATGTAAGTGTCTGTCCGTGAATGAATGGCTATAGAATGTGGTGTCTATACAATGGCATATTATTCAGTCATTTTAAAAAGGAAGTTTTGTTATTTGTGACCACAGGGATGGACCTTGAGGATACTTTGCTAAGTGAAATCAATCAAAAAGACACTGTGTGTTCTCACTCAGATGTGGGGGTGAGGGACCCAAAAATACAAAGCAAAAACATGAGCTGATAGGTGGATACAGAGATAGATTGCGGGCTGCAGAAACAGAGGACCGGAAGTAAAGAGAATTGGGCCAAGGGCATCAAAAAGCATAAACTTCAGGCCTCCCTAGCGGCACCAGGGGTTAAGTCTCAGCACTGTGAAGCTATCAGCAGCCACCACAGCGTCGGCCAGGAAGCTGACCCACATGGCGCAACTGGGTATTTCAGTAGATCCACCAGCTATATTCCCCACTCTGTCTCTGGTGAAACCTCTCATCGCCCTACGACTCCAGGCCTACACCCCTGCCCTTGTACATATAAATAAATAAATCTTAATTATAAAGAAAAGCATAAACTTCCAGTTACATAATAAAGAAATCCTGGGCCCTCCCTGGTGGCGTGACAGGTTAAAAGCACAGCACTATGGATCTTCTGCAGCCACTGCAGCATGAGTTGGATCCCCGGCCAGGGAGCTGACCCACAAGGTGAGCCAGACCTCTCCTGACCCGCCCACTGCTCCCCTCAGCAGTGCATTTCACTCTACCTGTTCTGCTCCCCACACTGTTTCTGGGGAATCCTCTCACTCCTGCACCTGTGGCCTGTACCCCAGTTCTTACATGCACAAATAAAAAAAAAAAAATGTTCTAATAAATAAATAAATAAGTCCTGGGGATGTCCAGCATGGTGACTACAGTTAATAATGCTATATAGCATACCAGAAAGTTGCTAAGAGAATGAATTTTAAAAGTTCTCATCACGAGAAAAAATACTCTAAGTGTATATGATGACGAATGTTGACGAGGCTTATTGAAGTGATCACTTCACAACATAGACATGTATGAAATCCTTGTGGGTATACCTGACATTAGTATGTTAGTATGTGTCAATTAGATCTCAATTAAAACAAAGTGCAAAGAGAGGAGACTTTCTCTTCTATGGCCAGTTCAGCTTTGCTCCATTTCACTCCTTCTGCATTGAGTCACCACAGAGCTACTTCAGAATGTGCCGCCACCTTATTGGAACTTGATTCTCAGGGTGTAACCTGGTGGCGAGGCAAAGTTCAGGTACCCACTGAGCTTGAGGCCGGCTCAAAGCATCAGACCACACTCTCTGATCCCATTTCCAGAGGAAGAGCTCCTTCTCTTGTCCCAAAGTTTCACACATGCACTCACAAGGTATTTGCTGAGCACATAGTGCTCCTCTAGGTACTGACAAAACAGCTGTGAGCGTGGCCGTCACAGCTGCCGTGTCTACTGCCCACATACCTTCCACTCTGCAGTTCCAAAGACGAGGGCGTTTCCACAGAACCGCACGGCCAGCCCGGCCCTTACTCTACAGGCCAGCCCCAACGGTGTGCCGAGCAGGGGTTTGAGGTGGAAGGGACTTAGGGTCACATCTTAGCTCCCCCCAGTCAACTAGGGCATTTGACAGGTAATTTTTTCAGTACTCAAGGTCTCACTTGCCTCATCTGTGGAAAGGATGCAGCCATCCTTTTGCAAGGACTATGTAAAGGCATGGGATCCAGCACCTAGCACTTCCCTTTCCTGTCCCTGAAACAGGAGGGTCCTTTTACGCTGGGGCTGAAGCTCATGCTTTAACGTTAAGTCAAGCTTGGTCTCTTCATAGCCACAGAGGCTTGCGCTGCATCCTTTCCGTTTACTGATGGGTCAGCTTTTCTCACGGTATGGCCTGTAGACCACCGGCTTCACAGTCAGCTGAACTCTTTGTTAAAGATGCAGATGCCAAAACTCTAAACATAATACTCTTCAATCTCATTTAAGCTAATCCACATCTAGTCACAACCCATTTTGATCCTACTGAATCTAACCTATACTTCCTATTTCTAAATGAACATTTAACTCTAAATTAACAAGGTGGTAGACAAAGACTAGAAAACCACCTCTGATACTACAAATTTTTTTTTTTAATGTAGCCTAGAGATGGGGTAGGGAAGAGCAAGCAGGAAACCTACCAAATCCACCAGGTGCTCTCTTGTACACACACGCTCACAATTCTGGTAGCAACTGGTTTAGCAGCTCTGGACATTTTCGAAGCTGCTTCTCACCATTTTCAAAAGAAGATCACCCCCCAAAACTTACTAACTTTACCCCCTCTTCTCCTCCCTTCACTCTCTTGAAGGCTACTTTTAAAGAGGAAGCAGAGTGCCATGGCTGTGAGATTAAGCGCCAACACTAACAGACTTGAGATCTTATTCCAGCTTTACACTTACACAGTTTCTCAAAGTGTGGTCCTCAGAGGCAGCACTGTCTGGGAACTAGTTAGAGATGCCAATTATAGGCCCCACCCCGGTGGGACTGAACGAGAAACTCTGGAGATGGGTCCCAACCATCTCCAAGCCCTCCAGGTGATTCGGAAGCCCAGGTGTGAGAACCTTTCCAAGTCCGGTGACCTTGGGTAGATTCCCAGCTTCTCTCACTTGTGAAATACTGGCCTTCTACCCCCAAATCAAACACAGTGCTGTATACCAGCACCATCTTAATAAAAAACGCTATTCAAAAAAATAAAATCTTTTGGCATGGTACTTAGAGGATAGGTCTAAAAAGGACAAAACAGGGTCCTCCCTGGTGGCGCAGTGGGTTAAAGCACAACACTATGAAGCTAAAACCACGTCAGCGTGAGTTCGATCCTCGACCAGGGAGGTGACATGGCTCAGCAGACCTCCCCTGACCCGCCCACTGCTCCCCTCAGCAGTGTACTTCATCGATCAGCCTGTTCTGCTCCCCACTCTGTCTCCGGTGAATCCTCTCACTGCCCCTGCACCTCTGGCCTGTCCCCCAGTTCTGTATGTACAAATAAATAAATCTTTTTTAAAAAGTACAAAATAAATAAATAAAAGTGATAACCCCATAGTGAGACCCAATGACAGGATAAAAACCCAGAACTTAATACAGTGTATTCCCTTACTAAATACCTACTATTGTTACTATCAAACAAACAGTCCTTGGCCCCATGGAGTCTATTAAATTTGAAATGTTTGGAGTTTCTGTGATGGTGAATGGAAACCATCAGGTTATGAACCATCACAAATGGTGTGGAGCTTACCTGCTGAAGTAGTCTTATTTTTGACTCCATCCAGCTGGAATGCCATCAGTCTCTGTCTCTTACTCCTACACAAGCTCTATTCCATACCCAGAATACCCTTCTGCTATGTACCCACACTCTTCACATCTTACTTCTGCCCCAAAAGATCAGCTCAGGTCTGCTACCAGGTCTCACCTGGCTACTCGGTTCAAATGAAACTGGCGGTACCGCCTGTGTTGCAAGGCTATTCCCTAAACACGCGTGTGCATCCCACCGGTGGGCTTTATGTCCTATTTAGTTGTTTTGTCTCTTTCGTGATAGTGAAAGTGCCAGGGAAACAGAGCTGGCATCTTCTGGTTCTTCCATCTCTTCCTTCGCCCACCTTCAAGCACACACTAAAGGGTGAGTGAATGAACAAACTTCCAGAGCAGCGCTCAGGCTCTTGAATGCAAGGCACACTTGGACCAAAGTTGTTTAAACAGACTTTCAAGAATAATTATAATTATAGTAGCTTAGGTGTGTAGGAGGCATCACAGTTCAAAAAATGCTTTGGTATTTTTAACTGAATCAAGTTGTCCCCAAAACTTTATGAAGCAGGTATCACTGCCCCCATTTGGCACCAGGCAATAGACCCAGAGCTTGTTGGTGATCGTCTGAGGCAGCGCAGAGGCGGGGCCTCAAGGCTGTATTAGGCCACTGCAGCTTTTACTAGGCAACTTGGGTTGGTCTAGGTGATCACTGTTGGGATTTATCCTTTTAACATCACCTCTACACTCAACTCTCTGAAGGCGAGTGCTGCCTCAATAATAATGGGCCTTCTGCTTCTTTAGATGTCAAGACAGGGCCCATTCAGAAAACAAGAAGTATGGCCTCACCTGGTGTTCCCAAGCGGGCCTGAGCAATGGTCAGTTTCTCATGGGGTGCTTGGCACTGGCAGCTGCTTTCATCTGCAAATGGGGCAGGTGCAGTCAGGGTCTAGAAGGGAAAGAGAGAAAGGGGAGACAGTCTGGCAAAGTCCTTTGGCACTAACTTACCCTGCGGTTTTATTCCTGTTGGCTACGCAGGTTTGACTAGGAAGAAGACTACATCCGCTGAGTCTTTCAAGAAATTCAGTCCTGTTAGAAATAAAAGCAGGCAGGGACATTTGACACTGAAACGGGTTTTTGACGGCTGCTTCAGAAGAAACAAGGGCTCTTCCCCATCGACTCTGTGCCAGGCACTGTGTGGGGACCCGAAGAGGTCATTTCTGTTAAACTGCACAAGCCCTCCAATGGCTAGGGCAGTGAGCAGTGGCCAAGCATGGCGTCCATCTCTACACAGGATGATGTTATTTCTGTATTACAGAAAAGGAAACTGAGGCTCCTCAGGATTAAGACACATGCTAAGTCACGCCCTTGGAAATGCATAATGCTCAGCTTTGAACATTTCAGAACCAGTGAGGGAAGACTTGAAACATTCACACTTACCCACACCCCGGGGTACTCGGCAGGAAGGAATGTCATACTCAGAGACGTGGCAGACACCTGTATTTCACACACCGACCTGACCAATCACAAACTCTGACATCTCTTCAGGCCAAAGGCCAAAAGCGGTTGTTGCCGGCGCCCTGGGCGGGCCTGAAAGCACCGCATTTCTGGCGGGCTGCAGATAACTGCTCCTGTGGTGGCTCCAACAGCCACAAGGGCTGGAGGCCCCGCCCCAGGCAGCCTGGGCTGGGGCTCTGGGGAGCGCTGAGAGATGCAGTCACTTGGAAACCTGCCCAGGAAGTGGCTCTGCATTTTTAGTCAGCCTCTTAAAATGAAAACCTTACTCTCTCCAGAAAGAGGAAGGCAAAACGAACAGAATTTTTGTAACGAGGGCAAACACAGCAGAGTTGTCCACTGCAGTCTCTGAACAATGCCACTGCCGTGGTCATCACTACATCATCTCTGGTGTTTTTAAAGCTCGACTTGACGAGTCACTGTAAACATTACTCATCCTGCTACCGGACTGGTTTTCTTAAATAGCACATTTTGACACAGGTGCTCCTCAACTTGGGAAGATGCAACTCAAGAACGACCCACACATTTGAAGAGGGGCTGTGACCCACTTCTGTCCTCCCTTTATTCCTTCACTTACTCATTTAGCTACCTGGCAGGCGCAGTCTTGGAAGAGTGGGTAGAAGTAGGGGTAAGACCAGACTCACTGGAGGAACAACATTGACTTCCACTCCCAAGAAGGGATCCTTACCCTGCCCCCATCCCTCGCCCCTGAAGCACCTTCTCCCCTCAGGAAGCTGGTTTCCCCGCCCACAGCTGTTTGGAGACCTCCCACTTGCCTGGCATTTTCTGAACCTTGCTCCCCTGTTCAGGGCTCTGCAAGCAGACCAAGACCTGGATTCTGGGAACACGAGTCCACCAGTGGTTCTTTTTCAAGGTCACACTAAGGTGACCTTGTGGGCCGTGATGGGTCGGGATGGTATGTATAGTGTGGCAACAGGGTGCAGCGACGAGAACAGATGCCAAGTTTTCAAACCCCCTTTCCAGCTTTACAGGCTGTGTATTTCCACATGGCTCTTACAGTTGGAAGAGCAGACACTACAGGTAACCTAAGAGATGAAGGATTCTGTTAAGGCTATACTGGCCCAGAGACTGCAGGGGAAAGAAGGATGAATCTAGCCCCAGAGTGGCCCCAACTTGGTTATTCTCTGCCAGGATTCTTTTTTTTTTTTTAAATATTTATTTAGTTATGCATACAGAATTGGGGTACAGGCCCGAGGTGCAGTGGGTGAGAAGATTCACCAGAGACAGAGTGGGGAGGAAAACAAGTAGATCTACCGAAATAGACTGCTGAAGGGAGCAATGGGCCAGTTTGTGCACCATGTGGGTCACCTCCCTGCCTGGGGCTCGAACTCATGCTGCGGTGGCTGCAATAGCTTCACAGTGCTGTGCTTTAACCCATGGCACCACCAGGGAGGTCCTGTCCAGGAATCTTTCTGTTCCACCTCTATTTACTACAGTAACGTCTCCACTCAAGTCCGCCTCCCCCATAAACTTGAACTTGAATGTCGCCCATCAAGGCCTCCCTTCCCAATGGTCATTCAGCAACCTTTAATTAAGCCTTTCAGGCCCAGCTCCTGCCCCTACCAACTTATGGCTTTTTCTCATTATTCCCAATTCAAATTCCTAAGGGAGAATCAGATGGGCCAACCTCATCTTTTCAAACCAGGCCACAGCCAGGATTGGCGGGCACTGATACCCACCAGTTGCGCTGGTGAGAAAGGGAAAGTAGAAAGGGAGGCGATGGGTGGCCTTTTGCTGTCCTTGAACAGGAGCTGCTATTGGAACAGGAAATGTATTTGACTTTCTGTGCTAAGAGGAAGGTCTTTCACTTAGTTGAATCCAGTTTCACCTGTAAAATGAAAAACTACCTTGCAGGGTTTCTATGAGAAATAATACATGTAAACTATTGGGCACTCAATAAATTGTGGTAATCACTGCTATTAGTGTCTGTTATTATATATCATAACACTATAATAAGCATACTATATACTATGATATAATAAGATCATAATAATGTGCTCTTAGAGCTTTAGGATGGAGGGACCTTATAAAAGGACAGACTGGACTTCATAATAGTTAGAGAAAGGAGGGGGGAAACAATTAATGGGGAAAAAAACAAAACTAAGTGATCATATTTTACCCAGACTTAGTAAAAGAGATCAAATGAGTTACATGCAAACACGAGCAAGCCTGAGCTTAGACTTGTTTGCTAGCTCATGTCATATGTTATAGATGACATAAGAGGTTTGGAGAACAGGTAAGTAGAGAGGAAGAGGAAGAAAGGAAGGGGCAAGGCTGTAGCGCAGTAATCGGCAAAGGCAGGCAGCCCTTCCACAACGGGAGATGGCATTGGTTTGAAAGGGCTTATTCAGTCTTCAATGACTTTATTGTGGGAAAGCTCTACCCTTTTCAACATACAAATCATAGGGCCCTCCCTGGTGGCTCAACAGGTTAAAAGCGCAGCACTGTGAAGCCACTGCAGCATGAATTTGATCCCTGGCCAGGGGTGTGACCCACATGGCGCAGCACACCTCTCCTGTCTTGCTGGCTGTTCCCTTCAGCACTGTATTTCAAGTCAGTCTACCTGTTCTGTTCCCCACTCTGTCTCTGGTGAATCCCCTCACCCCCTGTACATCTGGCCTATACCCCAGTTCTTGTATTCATAACAATATTTTTTACAAGCTATTTGATACTATGTAAAATATACGCTGTAAACATTACATGGGCACAAAAACTGGTCAGTAGAATCTGTACTTCCACAATGTACGTCCCTGAACGCCAAGTGGACCAACCAGACAGCAAGCTAAGGAAGCGATCAGAATACAACATAGCACTGCTGATGATGCCCACCAAGCCCAGAGTGCTTGTTTAAGCTAAGCTACTCTAACTACAGAGGGGTTATCTAGTCAGGTGGGCCTAAGTTCAAATCCTAGCTCCAATATTTATTATCATTTGATTTTTAGAAAATGACTGGTTCCTTTTTTCAGAAAGATGGCACTAAAAACAAAGAAAGCAGCCCCCACATTTCCCAAAGCCAAAGTCAAACAAAGCTTTGACAGCCAAGAAAGCAGTGCTAGAAAGCATCTAACGCTAGATGGATCCACACGTCACCCACCTTCAGCAGCTCAAGACACTACGGCTCTGAAGGAGCCCAAATATCCTGAGAGGGGCACCCCCGGAGAGCAAGCTCAACCCTGTACCATCGGCAAGTTCCCGGAACCACAGAGACAGCCAGCAGAGCGAACACAGCGCACATCTGTGTTCCCATGGATGTCAAAGCGGTGACACAGCTCTGTGGCACTGGCACGGCCATAGTCAATGCCCTAATCAGACCCGGGGGTGACGAAACGCTGCTGTCTGACTGGCTCCTGATGATGACGCTTTGGATGTTGCTGACAAAATGGGATCCTCTACACTGAGCCCACCTGGTTACTTCTAAATATAATTATTTTTACCACACACAGAGAGACACAAAATGGTGGCTCTTAACCTCTCTAACCTCTCTGAAGAATAAAAGCAATATGTGATTAGTATCTTCCTTTTATCACTCCAGAATCCACTCGCTTGCTACCCTCCTCTGGCCTTCTCTGCATGGCTTCCTGTGTGGACTGTTTGAATGGGCTCCCAGTTGGGCTGGGTCCATGGGAAACAGACAACACACTAGAGCAGGACAAGAAAGAGCGCAGGGTGTTTGTCTCCCTGAAATCCCTAGAAGAAGTAGTGCATTCGCTCTGTCCCCAAATGCACAGCTCCTGTGCGAAGGCCATCTCTATAGAGCATTCCACAAGGTTCTGGTAACCACATTCTCCCCTTGTCCCTTCATGCCTGGGGTGCCCACTTTCCAGTGTTTCTAAGATGCTTACTATCCCTTGAGGTTTTCCTGAACCCTGCCCACACCTCGGTGAAGAACCCCTTTCTGAACTCACTTCAAATTTCCCCTTTCAAGAGTCTGTTCTAGACAGGGTCTGACTGCTGCAGTGTATACAGCAGCGTGATGCCTGGCTCAGTAAGTGTGTTAGCGAGCAAATGTTGATGAGTCATGTTGCAAGCACAGAGATTAATTGAAAAGTGAAGTACTCATAGTTAATAAAGTCATCACCATCTCAAGAATGTCTTCCAGTAGGAAAGAATTCTTCCACAATAGAACATTTTCATCCAAATCCACAGAAGAAGCAAGCAAGAACAGGACTGCAGACCGAATCTACTTCTCCACACAGGCCTTTTGCCTCATGACTCAAGAGCTTCAGAACTGCAATTCAGAATTATAACAAGATGTCACAGTCATATCCTCAGTCTCACACTGGAAGGTCCATCACTGAATGTACTTTTTTAAAGCCTGATTTTATCTGACATCAGAATAGTAATGTCTTTGGAAGACAGCAAGGCAAGAAAGAGCAGGTCTTTTAGCTGACCACAGGTAGACCCAAGATACCA